TCAGATAGTATACGTTTGACTTTCTCTTTGTAATCAGCCTTATCGAGAACAACTACTCCCCTCCCCTTGTCTGGTTTCGTAACAACAATGGAGTCATCAGAAGCAAAACTTTTGAGCAGCTTAACATCGTTTTTTGACAAAACAGGTGAAAATACCTTGGATGGCTTAAAACCATGGTAGAAGTTGAAGGCAATCGTTCGTAGCCTTTGCTTGACGTCTTGGAACTTGAAACGTTGAGGAAGTTGAAGATTCGAAAGAGAAGATATCAGCCGTTCAAAGCAGAGAAAGTAGCTGAAGAAATCCAGTCGCCACACCGGAAGCTTAAATTCCAGTCCGAACGCTAGCAGAATCTTGACTCTTGGGGGTATGACTTTGGATGAGAGGTTGTAAATGACTTGATCTGGGTCACAGGGCTTGATAAAGCCTGCTATACCAAGGCGTTGTAGCTTCCGAGAGTGAATAAGTTCATGTTTCTTGACAAAGTCAGACAGAATGTTTTTAGCGTCGCTGACGAGCCAGAAGTACTGAAAGAACGACAAAGTTCCATGTAACGACCGTCGTATGGAATCAACGTCTCTTTTTAAGATCCGTAATCTTCTTTTCTTGTAGTTGATCTCATTGTCTAGAAGTTCAGTTTGCCATGTTCGATAGAGTTTCGAATGTTGTAAGGACTTTCTGTACAGTTTAAACCGTAAGAACTTCGGAAAGATGTCATAAGTTTTGCAAGTTTCTAAAAACGTGATGTCCAGGTTGCATTTTGCGGCCTTCTTCTCATGATCGATCAGTTTGAAAACGTCTTTGAACGTAGATCTTCTGTGTGATCTCTTGATATGATCGAAAAGTCGTTCATGTTTTGGTCGTAGAAGTAAAAGAAACTTCACCAAAAGACAGCTCAAGGCAGTAATCATATTCCAGACCGGTTTCGGCACGTTTAAGTACCATCATCAGTGGGCATACATGTTACATTCATGATACATGACAAAACAAAGTTAATACAAAAAATCGTAGTTCAAAATTCACAAGTCGTTACATCGTTTAAACATTCGGATCAATCGCTAAAGAATGTAGCGATTGATCCGAATGTTTAAACGATGTAACGACTTGTGAATTTTGAACTACGATTTTTTGTATTAACTTTGTTTTGTCATGTATCATGAATGTAACATGTATGCCCACTGATGATGGTACTTAAACGTGCCGAAACCGGTCTGGAATATGATTACTGCCTTGAGCTGTCTTTTGGTGAAGTTTCTTTTACTTCTACGACCAAAACATGAACGACTTTTCGATCATATCAAGAGATCACACAGAAGATCTACGTTCAAAGACGTTTTCAAACTGATCGATCATGAGAAGAAGGCCGCAAAATGCAACCTGGACATCACGTTTTTAGAAACTTGCAAAACTTATGACATCTTTCCGAAGTTCTTACGGTTTAAACTGTACAGAAAGTCCTTACAACATTCGAAACTCTATCGAACATGGCAAACTGAACTTCTAGACAATGAGATCAACTACAAGAAAAGAAGATTACGGATCTTAAAAAGAGACGTTGATTCCATACGACGGTCGTTACATGGAACTTTGTCGTTCTTTCAGTACTTCTGGCTCGTCAGCGACGCTAAAAACATTCTGTCTGACTTTGTCAAGAAACATGAACTTATTCACTCTCGGAAGCTACAACGCCTTGGTATAGCAGGCTTTATCAAGCCCTGTGACCCAGATCAAGTCATTTACAACCTCTCATCCAAAGTCATACCCCCAAGAGTCAAGATTCTGCTAGCGTTCGGACTGGAATTTAAGCTTCCGGTGTGGCGACTGGATTTCTTCAGCTACTTTCTCTGCTTTGAACGGCTGATATCTTCTCTTTCGAATCTTCAACTTCCTCAACGTTTCAAGTTCCAAGACGTCAAGCAAAGGCTACGAACGATTGCCTTCAACTTCTACCATGGTTTTAAGCCATCCAAGGTATTTTCACCTGTTTTGTCAAAAAACGATGTTAAGCTGCTCAAAAGTTTTGCTTCTGATGACTCCATTGTTGTTACGAAACCAGACAAGGGGAGGGGAGTAGTTGTTCTCGATAAGGCTGATTACAAAGAGAAAGTCAAACGTATACTATCTGATTGTTCTAAGTTTACTCTGATCAAGGAGCCCATGCAGAAAGTGTTACTACAGGTGGAGGATAAGGTTAACAGAGTGCTGACGAAACTGAAGAAGTGTGCCGCGATTTCATCTGAAACGTATAACAGCCTGTATGTATCCGGCTCGACCCCTGGAATTTTGTATGGTCTACCTAAGGTCCATAAGCTGTTGACTCCTGTGCGTCCGATCTTTGCCGCATGTGGAACGCCTACCTATAAGCTTGCAAAATTTTTGGTGCCCATTTTAGCTCCTCTCACTGAGAACCAGTTCACGATAAAAAATAGCTATCAGTTCGTATCCGATATTCAATCTATCAGATTAGGCTCAGATTCTACCATGGCTAGTTTTGATGTTGAGAGTTTATTTACGAATGTACCGGTCCGAGAAACCATTGAGATATGCATTAACTCTCTGTTTGATGGCAAAGATACATTCGTCGGTATCGCAAAGGGTCTTTTCCAATCCATGCTCGAACTTGCTGTTCTGAACTCGTATTTCTTGTTTGATGGTGACCTGTACAAGCAAAAAGATGGCGTTGGAATGGGGCTCCCGCTAGGACCTACGTTTGCCAACATTTTTTTATGTTTTCATGAGAAAAGATGGCTTGATGATTGCCCCGTGGACTTCAAACCCAGCTACTATCGCAGGTATGTCGACGACTGCTTTCTTATTTTTGACCACCCCTCGCATATAGACCGATTCTTACAATACTTGAACGGCCGTCACCCAAGGATAAAGTTCACTAGGGAAGTAGAAACAAACGGTACACTTCCATTCTTGGATGTGAACGTCACAAGGTCTGAGGACAGATTCGTAACCTCTGTATTCAGGAAACCGTCATTCACTGGACTAGGCTTAAGTTTTTTTAGCTTTATTCCCAAGGCGATCAAGGTGGCAGTACTGCAATCGGCCATCCACAGAGCTTTCAAGTTATGCTCCAGTTATCGACTTTTTGACTGTGAACTTAATTTCCTGAGAACTTTCTTCAAAAATAATGGTTTTCCTGCTCCTCTAATCAATTTCGAAGTGAGGAAATTCCTCAACAAACAATACGATCGGGTACCAGCATCTTTTGATGTGCCCAAGCTCTGCAAATACGTGACTTTCCCGTACCTTGGAGAACAGTCTCAAGCTTTAAAACATGCTATTACCGATATACTGACTACTTTCTACCCTTATGCCCAATTTCGTATCGTCCTGAGGAACCAACTTACGATTGGCTCTTTTTTCAAACACAAAGATAGAGTTCCAAAAATGTGCTGCTCTGGCGTGATATACAAATTCTGTTGCCCCTCGTGCGGGGGGTCGTACATTGGTTCTACCAGTGCACGCCTTAACACCAGAGTTAGCCAACATTTAGGAATCTCTGAGAGAACGGGTAAGATGCTGACATCTCCTCCCCAGTCATCTGTGAGAGATCATTCAGATCAGTGTGACACCCGTTTTTCAATTTCGGACTTTCAAATACTTGCAAGAGCGCCAACAGCTATGGACCTTAGAACGCTCGAATCATTACACATACATATGGAAAAACCAAGCTTAAATGGTAAAAACTCAGCTGTGCCCCTGCAGATTGTGGCTTAGAAGTAGCCACCATCACTTGGTGCTTTATTTTGAAGTGCCTTGAAGTATGAAGCACCTGAGTTCTTGACATATTTTTTCAAATAGGTCTGTGAGAGCATCAACCGATTTTAAAAGAATGTAGCGATTGATCCGAATGTTTAAACGATGTAACGACTTGTGAATTTTGAAAGAAGTGTATGTTATTAAATATTTTTAGCTGTGACTCTACTTTATCATACAGCTATAGAATAAACTTCGATGATAAGAATAGAAAATGTATCATTCTTTATAAAGGTGAACTATGGCCAATGGTCTATTTGTAGATCAAACAAATGAACGACCTCACATTGATCTGATTAGAAAGTTAATTTCATTTACCTTCCAACATTCTAGGCCTTTTGTAGTTCTGATATGAAGTTGCACTTCGTCAAATGAAATAACATTGTTATTATAGAAGTCTCGCGTATCAAGGCAAATGGTATCATTTCCAATGAGCTCGTACCTGAATATCTGTGCTAGCATTTATCAGTTTAAGCAAACTTGTCATGTCCTAACAGGATGTGAAAAGTCCCAAGATCTGAGGACGCAACACATGTTCTTTCTTTCCATCTGCCGGTTTTCGTAGAAAATGAGCGGTCTCGCTGAATGTCAGAGACTTTTAGTTTTTGTGTCATTAACACCATTAATTTAGATGTTTTATAAATTGATTCGGTCCAACAGCGAGATTTATGATGTAGTACGGCCTCTTTAATCTGGAAATTGACGAATGCTTCCTAATCAACCTCTCAAACAAAATTTTATCCATATGTCCCTGTTTATTACTATTGTTATTTTTTTTCGTAGAATTTTATTTCAGGCTATGCAGGTGAAAACTGAAAAGTACAACAAAATTCCAAAACTGTCGTATGATTGTTACGAGAGATGGAACATTTAGCACGACTTCTTGCTCACAACGCGGCGTTTCTTCAACACGGTGTTAGCGACCTTCTTGGAACCTCTGAGTAACTGTTGGACTGGTGTGGACTGGTGGTGGTGTAGCACAACTCTATGTTCTCGCCGACCTGTGACTCTGAGAGGGGTGCTGGCCGGCTAGCGGTGTTATCCGGTGCGGCAGCCCACTCGGGGCCAACGTGGAGCTATTGTTAATTAGTTTTACGCTTCTCAAAACAAACGTGGTACGAAGGACACAGCGTTCTCCATCATCCCATGTCCCTGCGCCTTGGTCCCTGCACAGTGCACATGCACACGCAAACTTAATTTTCTTTTCTAACAACTACATTTTCTTCCTTCCGCAGGGACTTCGCCAAGTCATACCACACGTCCAGACCCAGAAGAAACTCTCCAAAATCGAGACTCTCACGCTGGCCAAAAACTACATCATGGCACTCACAAATGTCGTATGCGACATGCGCGGACGACATCGCGAGTACCCAGGCACCGCCGCCGAGTGCGCACCCCTGATGACGTCAGATTTGATGACGTCAGATCTGGTACCGCGGCTCGACGAGCTGCCCGATGACATCGAGTTGAGCGACCTCTGGCCTGAGATCTGAGGTGATGGGGCCAGCAGCCGGCTTCTTTGGTGAGCTGAGGGGTGTATGATGATGGTCGTTGCAAACGACTGACCGTGGCGAGTCCACGGACTCTTGACGAAGGACTCAATGTGTAACCGATCTCCGATTCAATGCATCGAGCCGTAACTGCGGAAGCAATCCTGATGCAGTGGGACTTGGCGGCCGATTCCCATACCTCTATCTGGCTTCCTCTGAGCTTCTTTAGATTAGGTTGACATGTTCCTTGTACTCTGCACCCTGTTCTGAGAAGGCACCACACTCGCGCTGGATTCAGGTCAAAGTGGAGTCCCGAAGTACGGCAGCTTATCTGACAACTCCAGTCGATGTGGAGCTCAGCAGGCTCAGCGACTTCGATTGCCTACCGGTCCAGCAGTTCGCTGATCCCCTCATACGTCTGAGGATGCTACTACGAATTTTATGTTCTGTTACGAGAACTGTGGCTGCCTAGCATACGCAGCCCTACCCAGAACTATGCTATGGTTTTGTTAGAAGTACTTATAACTGTTACAATACTTATATATGTAGATGGCAAATCTTGAAATATAAAGGGTAACAATGCCTTGGAAAGATAATTATCCAAAGGTAAACGTTCAATGTTTTTAAAAGTGGCATACCTCTGTAATAATCCAACAGTTTTATACACATGGAATGCACATCGGGATATGTGCAATTTTATCTTCTATGCATGTTCCAATCTAGTCACATTGAGTCAAACAACTTGACTAAATAACTTTCCACTCACCGCTAACTCTGAGATAGCTAGCCACAAGAGTAGCCACACAGTATAATCAGACCTTTATCCAGCGGTTACCACAGGCCCAGATGGCCTCCCCCAGAGCAATTGGTCTGAATATTTTAGCTAGCACAGTCGTCGGCGGCTCAACTTCGTGCGGCCAAAGGTCATAGGTCATCCGGGAGGTCACTGAGAGCGCATTCGACTTCATGAATGTCTGCGAATATTGACTCGGTGTCAGAGCTGAGGAGACATTTGATGTTGACATTTAGAGCGTTAGCTTCGGCACTCACATTCCAGTTCATCTATTTAGAACACTGTCTTTTGCTTGCGTCATTCAATCGCAGTAGTTTTTTTAACCGACCTTAGCTGTCATCAGAAAAGTTTATGTCATTCTCATGTGATAAATACCTGATCTCAGGAGTATATTTTTGTACTGAAACTCATCTAGTATTAGTTTATATCACGTATACTGTGAGCGCACACTGCATACTTATTGTTCAGTGTCCGCATCCTATCTCTGAATCTGAATCTGAATCCGCCTCTGAAATCCTGAATTGTGTCTTTCCCTTTCACTCTGGAGAAGCCTGCAGCCCGAGCCGGTTATTTAAATCCACGTTCAGTGCCATATCATTGTGTCATTCGACCGCGTTTGTGCATAGGTGCTACTTATTCCTTTTTGTAGTTGTATTTTTTTCAGAGACAAACACACACAACCACAAATGAAGAAGACAATGATGCGTGCATATATCCTGTTTTAAAAAGTACGCTGATGCCTTGCCTTCTCATCTCCCTAAAACAAGAATGCAAGAATATCATTGATCACAGCTCATTTTCCTGCTTACAATATTCTCCCGCGCGGCCAACAACACTTTAAGTGTATTGAACCGCTCGGGACACCAGAGGGAGGCGATACACGCTATCTCACCCAGCCCAGGTTGTTTGCCTCCCATCGGAGCAGCCATAAGTCGATAGACACCACGCTGGAGAGGCAGCGCCTGAAATGAGCGATTTACAGCTGGTGTGGCGACTGGCTTAGAAATGAGTCGATAGCGGTGGCAGGCTGTTGTTTTGTATATTTAAAAGGAGAATTACAGAATGATAATGACAAAAAAGAGAAGGCTAAAGCACTAGTACAGGTTCGCAACAACACAGGCTTACAAGGCCTGGCTAAGAGCAATGAATGAGGAATCAACCTTGCCATTGTTTTTACTTTTTGACAGCTTTTGGTCGTATGAGTTCCAAGCATAGTTTCCCAACTTTGGCTCGACTGATCGGCCCTTCATTTTAAAACTTGTATACCATTACCCACAGTTTAGTTTCCATAACTAACTATACTAAACCACCGCACCACATATCTCCCCAAACACAGGAATACATACAATATACATGACACCATCACACGTGCAACAGTAGATATACCAGCCAGCAACAAATCCCCCACTTTATCCGGCACGCCCCGCCACGCTCCGCGAATCCAGCCATTTACACTTCATGTCACGTGCAGACCAAAGCGGCCCGGCGCGGCCCCGGCTCCGCCTTCAAATGCTGCCGCTCCGCTGACGCTGTAAGACCACCATGCTACATTTCTGGAGCGTCTCGAGCCGCGCCGTAAACCAGGTCAATCTACTGACGCCATGCCCCCCCCCCCGTCCCTAACTTGAACCCGCTCCGCAAATCCCCTGTGGCGGACGCCCGCCCGCCGCCGCCGCGCCGCCGCCGCCGCCGCCCGCCCGCCCGCTGCCCGCCGCCCCCGTCGCCCCCCGTCGCTCGACGAGCGGCGCCGATGCTGCGGTCGCTTCGGACCAAGCCATTGCGCTCCAGAGCCAGGAGGAGTTATTTTGGATACAGAGGCTGTGGTGAGACGCCATCAGAGCGGCCAGATTTAGACATT